CGTATGAAGACACAATTGATTATTTTCTTATAGTAAAAGACACTTTTTGTTTTATGAGCACATTTCCTTTTATCGATGCTATTTTTTTACAATCTTACCCTTTCATCTCCTATTTCCTTGCTATCTCTAATATTTCTTTATTTGAATATATGTTATTTTTCCAGATTTAATTTTCTTGTAAAATCGCTATTGTTATTGACTTTCCAGATCTGAATTTTTAGATCTGATTTTCTTGCAAATCCACATTGTTGTTGTTTTTTTCAAAATCGATCTCATCATTGTTTACCACTGTGTCTAGTCCTTTCCATCACAACCATCGTCTTTATTTATTCAATGGCTATTATCATTGTTATCTTCTCCTCTACTTTACGATCTCACTAATAGTTTTTCTGAATCCTGTTATCAATTTCTTCATAATCCCCATCCAAACAAATCCATATTGGTTTCATCCACCGTCTCCTCCACACCATCTCTATCGTCAAATCATCACCATCCTCTCAAACACCATCCACAACACACTATCCACGAGAAATCCATCCACGATATATTCATCCATAAATCATTGTCCACAAATTACCAATCCATGAGTTTTATAGATGATAACTTTTCAAAAATCTTTGAATCAGTACACATGTTCTCTTACATGGTCTATAAGATCACAAAGTTCAAAACATGCATACTTTAGCTTCCACTTTATTGTACAAAAACTCGAAGTTAACATGATTCTATTGTCCACGACTATCTCGTCCATAATTCTATCGTCCGCAACTTTGACGTCCACTGCTATTATGTCTATTTTTCTTTGCTCACCACTGTATCAACCTCCGTCTTCCACCACCGTCTCCTCTATAACCATCATTATCTCTACTACGGTATCCACCATCTCCACTACCATATCTACCACCACCTCCACCATGGCCTTCGCCGCCTACGGCACCATCGTCATCTGAATTGCTTCTTGTATTGTAATATCAATCTATTTGTATAATAAACAATCTGGAGAAGATAAAAACATAATTACAAAAATTTAAGTGCTTCAGATAGTTTACATGCGACTAGAATTTTCAAATTCATCAAAGAAAAAACAGAAACAATTTTTGTAGCCACACAATATGTTTCAAACTGAAACAAAGATAAATTAGTCACTCTAACTAAAAAAAGTGTGTCAAAACAAAATGTGTTTTTTCATGTCATTGACTTCTCAAAATGTGTCTCTCACTAATATTTTCTCAGATTTTTATTACCTCAAAAAATAATGGTGAGGACGAGATAAAAGAAAGAAAAAAGATGAACGAAAGTTTGAGGCTGTAAAACAAAATCGATGCGTTAAAAATCATAGAAAATATGAAAACTTCTTTAACCCGATGGACGGTTGACTGTGTCTCCCCTACTGTCAGAACAACTCTCTGATCTGCTCTCTGCTCACTTCATGATAATTTGGCTAATTTGAATTCAAAATTGGGATATTCTACCTATTCACCCTAAAAAAAAGAAAGAAAAAATGTAATAACAACAGAAAACGTATCTTATAATTAAGCAATGGAAGATCCGTCTCTTCTCTTCCTCTCTGTCTCTCTCCACTCCCTGTCCATCTCCTTCCATTGTTCTTCTCCTTCTCTCTCTCTCCGTTCTGTTACCATTTACCATGTGTGGGATAAGGATTCTTGCTGTTCTAGCCTGCGTCGATAACTCCCAAGCCACACTTTCCCGTATTATCAAACTCTCACAGGTATTCTCTCAATCCATCAAAGTCATCTCTTACACTGTGTAATGTTGTTAACGTTATTGGGTTTTGATTTGGATGAGAAAAGTTTCAAACTTTATGGGTGAAATGATGTGACTTTGTTAAATGAAAAGCTCTATATCTTGTGGGAAGATGAAATGCATGTAATCGTGTGGAAGATTTGATTGAATGGTTTACATCTGTTTACGAAAATGTTTGTGTACATTGTTGGCTTGTGTTCTAATCTCAGATGATATGGGTTAAAAACTCCAACTTTACAATGATTCCCATGCTTTCAGGTCAATGGAGATATATACAACCAGAAGGCTTTAGTGCGTATAAGTGAAAGTCTGAAGTTTCACAAGTAACCATACTGGGAGTGACTGTGAAGTGCTTGCCCATCTTGTAAGTACACCATTTCTTGTGTATAGAGAGGCCTTTCACCAAGCATCATAGCTCTCCTTCCAAATTGGGCTGTGAGTTTCCACTTGATTAGAACTTGTTCTCTTTGTTAGTTATGATCATCCAAATGGCATTAGAGATCTTCATGTCTTTCTGCAGGTGTACTTCTCTGTTTATGGAAAGTTAAATGATCTTCTCCACTCAAGTGGTATGTGGTCAACTACAAGTGGTATGTGGTCAACTACTCGATGCATCACAAGTTTTTTTTTTTTTTTGGGCTTTATGCTGCTTAGTCTTATTTTTTTTAAATCTTGTTAATATTCTCGTGATAGATGGAAATCTAAGTATTGGGGCGAACATGGTAGCTGGTGCTGGGACTGGAGCTTCAACATCTATTGCAACTAATCCACTTTGGGTTGTCAAAACAAGATTAATGGTAACGTTTTCTCCTTAGACGCTTGATCTTTGTTGATATGGTTACAGTTCCATCAAAGTGAGTATCTAAATATCTTTCCTATATTTCCAACAATACCGGTTCGGCTTCTATCAGTATATGTTGTTGCATTCATTCAGAGGGTTTCTGCTTTGTTTGTTGAGCTGAGTTGATTACTTATGGGATTGGTAATGTTATGTATGCAGCTAAGAAGCCAACTAGGCAATGGGCTGCTTGGACTCTGCTCTTCGTCAAGTTGGAAAAGTAATATTTTAGCTGTTGAAGATTGAATGCGTTTAAGCCTCTTCTTCTCTCTCTTTTTTTTTTTGGGTTATTGATAAGTGTCATTTTCTTTGTGTTGATTTTTCTTTCCAGAACTTTGCGAAGATTACTTCTCGTGTCCAAAGCAAAAACTAAGGACCAGGTTGGTTGATAGACCACTGAGTTTTGTTTCTTTTTCACTCGCACTTTGCTGCTGTTTATTTTAGTTTCTCATCGTTGTGGTGGAAACTTGCTATGCTTTTTTTTTTCAGGTTAGACATTCCTATTGCTATGTTAAATAACGCGCGAATGTCTTAACCGCCTTTTCTTGTTGTATCTCATCTTCACCGTTGATTAATTGACACGTCAACAATTTGAGACCGTAGGATCTATATGATAGCAACGAAATTTGAAACCGACTCTGATTCTGAGGTTCTATATAAGAAGTTGACATTCCCCTTGATCTTCACACAAGTCCCGCCGCTAATAGGCGTTTGTTCTCTTGTTAGGGTTTGTGCTCGATCCGGGTGAAGCTGATCCTTATGCCGCTATTCGTGATTGATCGATTTGTACCGGCCGTTCATCAAGGTACGTTCTTGTCTGTGCCTAGGTTTTCTTGATTTTCGTTCTCGTTCGACACAGTTAACTAACTTTTGGAGATTCGTATTTCCGTAGGGAATGGATAAGAGCAGAGAGGGATCAGTTATGCTTGATCAACAAACCACGACAAGTCTTTGTGTGAAGAGGAGCGATCTTAGTCATGGTATCTTCTTATTACGTTATCTTGTAACTCTTGCACATGTTTTGTTTGGGCTCTCAAACGAAAAGAAAGAAAGATAGATAGGGGGATGTATATGGCCTTTGCCATGACAGGTGCGCTTGCTTGGCAGGTCATAAACAAACCCTTAATAAAAAAGTGACAGCTTTTTGGTTCTGCAGAGGGATGGGAGATGGTACGGGATTGGTTTATCTTCTTTCTTTTTCCCGGGCTCTCCATTCCTCCGCTTTGTGTGTGTGCGCCCCTGTGTCTCTCTTTTTCACTTTCTTGCTCATATTATATGCTTCTTGCATACACACGAACATGCTTCTTGCATTCACACGTTATGCTTCTTGCATTCACAGGTTATGCTTCTTGCATTCACACGTTATGCTTCTTGCATAACACACTATGCTTCTTGCATAACACACTATGCTTCTTGCATAAGACATGAACATGCTTCTTGCATAACACACTATGCTTCTTGCATAAGACACGAACATGCTTCTTGCATACACACAAACATGCTTCTTGCATGCCACAATATCCTTCTTGCATTCAAACGTTATGCTTCTTGCATACACACGTTATGCTTCTTGCATGCCACAACATTCTTCTTGCATTGTTACATGCCACATTATGCTTCTTACATAGTTGCATGCCACATTATGCTTCTTGCATAACAATAAAATGCTTCTTGCATAACACGAATATGCTTCTTGCATACCCCATTATGCTTCTTGCATACCCCATTATGCTTCTTGCATACCACAAAGAGAATCACAGACCCAACATTGTGGCATCTCTTGTGCCTTTTTAATATGCGGCTTGCATATAAACGAAGAGAATCAATGAGCATCACTTGTGCTCTTTATTATGCTTCTTGCATGTGCTAATCATCTCAAGGGAAGAACGATGAGCCTTTGATGACTGAAACGATGGTAATTCTATTGCATATTTAGTTAAGTACGGTTTTTATTTTGGGCTCTCCAGCTGTGAACTTGTGATAGATCAGAATATGTATGCATAATACTTTTCTGTTGCTCTAATGCAATCATGTAGCTTGTAATCACTCGCATAGTCTATTGATAAATTTTCAGAATGCTATTCCTAATAAATTCTCAAGTTAATATGGATAGTGGATTTGTATACTACCTTCTTCGTTTAGGATTGAGTACGTGGCTATGAATTATATATGTATATACATTAATAATCAAAGGTTTGGCTCAAGTAATTGTCGTTCTGATGTGTCTTTGGTGTACTGTGGGTAACACTTAATGTGAGCTGTGCTGGTTCTTAGCGGTTTATCATCGAGTTATCCTAAAGTGGTTGGGTGTGTTTCAAGAATGGTTGGTAGGACGATGGAATCTGAATCTATAAAAGCTGAACAGTTGCAAGGAGGTTGGTCTCTGTATCTTGTGAATTTACAAGGATTTTTGGTAGATGCTTGTCTCGATGTTAGTCAACGATGCCTTGCTGTTGCAACCAACAGCTACGAGGCTGTTTCCACTCCCAATGAAAAAGGGGCTATCCGTAAAATTCAAAACCGATGTAGACTCCTTACCATCTCTGGAACATCCAACAGATGTTATAGGGACTTTGATACGAACCGATCCATAAGCCTCGGCAACAACAGTGTAAGTAATAGCTCCATTTTCAGGAAGAGAAATATCCACAACTTCCATGCGCATCTTGGAAAGGAACGGGAAAGTAGCGTTTCTGCATTCAATTTTGTACCATTCGTTGAGGTAGCAACCTTCTTGGATTCCAAATGGGTAAGGGATCTTTATGCTTCCACATGTTTCGGGTTGACACAAGCTCGGAAGGGAGACAACATTTGAAGCAAGGATGAGCACAAGAAGAGGAGAGAGAAGAAACTGGTTTTGCATCTCATGGTGTGGATTCTATTGTTGGACAAGTGCTAAACAAGCATAGGCTACTCACACGGTTACTTGCAATACAGGCTTCAAAAGGAACATCAGATTTTTGTAAAAACTTTGGGAGATAGATATCATAGGAAAATTTTAGTTGTGTTTAATTTTTTTTTGTTCGGAAAAATATAAATCAAACAGTGGTCAATAGTCCAAGCCGTCTTGTTTGAAAGACGCGCCAGCAAATAATTTAGTCATTCTAACGCTACTGAGTGAATTGTCGTGGTAATAATTTTCTTCCCTCGAAACTGTGGAATTGTCGTTGAGTTCTGGAAGAACAAGAAAATTTCTTGTCATACGAACGAGTCCGAGAATTTCATGTTTATTTGGTAAACATGTCGAAGCCCAAGCGTAGGTAAGAGCCCTTGAACTGAGATAAACTTTGGTCCATTCTCTTGAGACGGCTACTCTGTGTACGTGTGCAATAAGTGAGTTTTAAGATAGTCGATAGCATTATCTATAAGAACAAACTGATTTGAGTGTCGGATTCCGACAAAATGACATCTCAAAATCAAGAGCTTTTATCTTAAACTTGCCATCATCACTTTCAATCTTTACCAATGAATCCTCTGGAGATGAACATATCATCTTTAACTCGTTCAGAAGCGATTTATTAGACTTCAGAGGCGAAGCGACTTGCCTCTTTGAATTCAAACATCTCCTCGCTAGATTTGCCATTGCCATTACTTGTTCTGGTTTGCACGCATCTCTTATTCGAGCTTTCATAATATCAAAAAACTTGTTCTCTTATTTACTCAAAATAATAACTTGAGATTAGTTGCCAACATTACGATAATAAATTGATATTTTCTTGTATAGGGTTTATATAAAAAAAATCAAAGAAAAAACAAAATAAATAAAAAAGTGTCTAACTATTGTTTTCATTGAAGAAAAATAGCAATTGTTTTTTTCTTGGAAAAAGAAAAATATATTTATAGACCAAACAATCTGTTTTCACTTTTCAGTTTATTAATTGTGGATTCAATCTCTCAATGATTTACTCAAAATAAGTAGAGGAATTAGTTTTAGATATGTGTCGGTGACTATCTCTTATATATTAAAAGAGAAGCATTTTGCATTAAATGCGTTCACATTGAATTTGAGACAATGCTGACGTGTCGCTTCCATTATGCTTCTGTCCTCACAAAAAATATTGCCAAATTCATAAACCAGATTTTCTAACTTTCCATATTACGTGTCTTGACATATAAAGAGACCAACTACGAAAGAATCTCGGCCAAGTTTACGTGTCATAGTTTTTCCGCACTTTCTCACAATTCTCTTGCGATGATTCATCTGTAACAAAGAGACCAACTACGCCATGTGATCCTCGAAAAGATCGAGATAAGTAAATCGAAGAATGTATCCCTCATGGAGGAAAGAGTCGTCCAGTGACTTCGCGAGACAAAGACGAGGAACTCGAGATGAAAAACCTCGACTTAAGCGGTATAGGAAGCTTGGTGATTGGAGTAGAGAGAACACTGAAAGGACTACTCGATAAATGAACAGTCAGTGAGGGTGTACAAGCTCGTATGGATCGAATCATGTTTCAGCAACTTTGCCGAGATTCTTTCGCAGCTCCTATCATTGATCTTCTTAAAGATTACATCAGCTCTCTGCGATGATTCCGTTACAAGGAAACGTTATTTATTAAAGACTTTCATCAATGTGAACCTGCTGTGTCTCTCTCTCAGTTTCAAACCTTAGCAATTATCAGTTTCAACAAATCTCGAACATATAAATATGAACCTGCTGTGTCTCTCTCTCAAACAGAAATAATGGAAACCTCAATGAGCACCATCGTCTTCTTCCTAATAGCTCTCTCCATTTCAGCTATTTCCTTATCCAAGGAGAGCCATGTGGAGGGTTGCATTAGAAGAAAGATCGCTCAAGCGCTCACTCCTTCTCCTTCGATTAATACGATTGATACCGAGCTAGAAGCTTATCCCCGAGGAATAACAGTGTCATGTTAAGCACGACGTAGTGAAAAACAAGTACTCTCTGGTGAAGTTTGAAGAGTTGGAACATAAGAAGCTAACTGAGTACGAAGAAGCAATGGCGAGCGAAGATAAGATGATTGAGACTGATAGCTTGATGGAATGTATGATAAGTACAGTGGAGAAACCGGAGAATGTTATAAAGGGAGAGAAGAAAAGAGAGAAGACTTGGATTAACCATATATCACATATTGCTCAATCCCACGATGTGGTCTGAGAAAAAAAAAGACACTGATGTGGCCTTACAAACTCTCGGGGAGGAGACTGATGAAAAACAGAGAATGTCTATGTTGTTAAACCGATTCATACCGAGCTATAAGCTTATCCCCGAGGAAGAATGATGTTCTATTAAGTACGACATAGTAAACAAGAAGCACTCTCTGATGAAATTTGATGAGCTCGAACATAATAAGCTAAACGAGAACGAAGAAGCATGTCGAAGAGCGAAGATGAGATTATTAAGGCTGATAGCTTGATGGAATGTTTGATAGGTACAGCGAAGAACCCAGAGAAGGTTATACAGGGAGAGATGGATGAACCCTCTGCTACAACGCTTCCCAAACTAACAAGGTCGAGTCTTTAAATGGAAACGACAAAGCTTTATCCTAGACATAGAAACAAAAACTAAGTGTACTTACTAGAAGGATAAGAAAAACAATTACCTTCTTAGTTCCAAAGTTGGGTACTTCTTGTGCGACATTATCCATAATCTATTGAGCAGAACTAACATTCTGATACTTTGACAAAGCTTCAGTTCCCAAAGGTAGAGGTGCATGATGTAGGCTGGACAGCATATATCAAAGTAAACACTCTACATTGGAACTCTATAGCCAAATCAACATACTCAGACACTCTACATAGGATGCCTTAATTTTTGGAATGCACTTGGAGAACATTACTCCAAGGTTTTGTATCATAATAACTTAAGGCACATAACAATAACGCATTTGTTTAACATTACTCTAAGGTTTTGTATCAGGTTAACCCCATGCACTGTTTTATCAGATTAACTCCATGCACGTAACAATGATTTATGTATCACTATTATACTTATACGTACAATATCCCCTATAATAAAGAACTAAAAAGTGTCTTAACTTTATTGAAGAAACCTTCCAAAATTTTGCTGATCGCAATATACGAAGCTCATAAGTCTCATTAATTAATAGAAGTGTCTCACAAGTCTCGAACTTATGAGCAATAAATATTAGAGTATTTACCAAGCAATTATTTGTTACATATATAGAAATATACTCGATCCTTATTGACAGAGAATTGTGTAAATCCAATAATAAAATGTATACACGATATTATAATGTTAGCTTAAAATATGTTTAATACTATTATTGATATATAATTAAAACATGTATCTCTGTATATCTTACTAATAAATACACAGAGATTCTGTAGCCTCTGTATATAAGGACGACGAGAGTAAACTTCATACTCACAGCTCTACAACATTAGGAAAAAAACGATACCTTTGAAACTATTATTTGAATAATTATGGTCGTGATAACTTCTGTGTCTGATTTGAAACCACTTCGAAGATGATTTTCTTGTGAGCACTCCTAGGAAGACCATATCTCAGTTGGTTGAATCAAATCAGGTTTGTTGTTACTGTTATATACAATTTAAATAGATATTCGAAACAGCTCAATATATTTGATAATATATCAAACATGTCAGATATGTTTTATTAAGTCTATATATTCATACAGGTTAAGAAGTGTATTGTCATGTGCACGATAACAGCTATTGATTCAGATATGGGCTGGTATCAATTGAGTTGCAAAGTGTATTCCAAATAGGTATTGAATGTGCATTATGACACCATCGACGATGGAGAAGATGCAAATGAATTGGGATTCAGTTATTATTGTGTCGAATGGAAGGTGAAGAACCCAAAGTAGATGCCAAGGTAATTATTCATTACAAAATTTATGTCATTGTTTTAGACTGAGTAAAATTATGCAATTGTTAATATTATTAAATTTTCTCCATATTTTAGATTCAAGTTGAACTTGGTTGTGGTAGAAAAAATCGGGAATGTAAAATTTCTATTATTCGAGGTAAGTCAAGTTTTATCATTTTGAAAACCGACTATTATGTGTTCTATTATGCCTTTTAGTAACCTACATGTTTTGTGTACAGAGCAAGACCCATATGATATTCCTTTGGCACTCAAAGATTTAGTTAGTAAAACCTATCTATTCAAGATTGGCATTAAAAGAGAGAATTTTCTTAACAAGAATGGCACCTAAAAAGTCTTGATTATTGTCACCAACATTGATTTGATTACTGAGTTCGGCAAGTTAAATCATCCAAAGGTATTATCGTTGAATATATATTTATCTCATTTTAATTTTCATTACGACTATAATATGGTTTGTAATGTGATTATATATAATAGGAAGCATTGAACAATTTGTCTCTTGAAAACTCTGTTGTTTCAGATGCACCAGAGGTAAAGTTCATGTTACATAAGTAGTATGAGCTCAAGTTAGTTGCAACGTGTCTTATAGTTTTTCTGTACGTTTTTGAAATGTATTACATGGTTCCCTTATGTCGTCTGGAGGGTGATTCTAGGAAGGTGAAGCTATCGCCTTAACTCCTGCTAAGCACCGAGGAACACAAGTTCTTAACTTGGAGAAACACCTTGACGAGAATTTGGTGACAGGGACTGCGTGTACAACTCCGATCAAAAAGGAAAACTTGAGAAAATTGGCTGAAGCAATTACTAAAAGGTAGGAATTTTTACAAAGGCTTTTGTTCTCTTTTGGCTTTTTACGTTAATGCAATTGTCTTTTTAAAGTTTTTATGAATTATGGGAGATGTCTATTTTGTAAAACTTCTTTGTTAGCATTAAATTAATAGAAAGCCTCTGTTTTTATTTTATTTTATTCAGTTTGGATTAAAGCTTTATTTTTTATTTTATCGGTTGGTCTATTGACACTTTACCTTTGCTTTGCTTTGCTTTGAAAGAGAGTTTCGTGGAGAACTACACCATTGTTGAACTATCATATATGTTTTTCTATTTCTACTTACATGTATGACATACTATATTGTTCTGAGGCAATTTAGATTAAATTGATTTTCAAATATGTTTATTTTTTTTTTATGTTTGGAGGAATAAGTAGAAAATGTCTTAAACGATCAGATGTTAGCTTTGTTATCACTCAATGGTATGGATTTTCCTCTCCAGTGAAAAGCTGAATCTAAACTGGAATGAAGTTTTTAAAATCTTATAATCAGTAACACAGTATTAGATATTCTTACAAAACTTAGTTTTATTCTAACTATTTATGAGTATAGAGGAAATTTTCAAGACTTAGTATTGTTCTAACTATTTATTTATATTAGATTATTCTTACAAAACTTATGTTCAGAAACTACATCCATGAAAAACAATATTTTTTGTTTGGTAAGAGATAATAATGTTGCATAATGATCAAGGTAATGATATGATCAAGGTAATGATCTAATCAAGCTGGATGTTTTTAATCTCCAGGGCTTAAAAGTCTACCCAAGCGTATTTGTAGTTCAACCTTGGTCTATTTTATGAGATATTTAATCAATAGTTTGGTACTATTAAATAGGAAGATTAAATTTTGCTATTTTTACCTAAAGAAATTGAATTGAGATACTCAATTTCAAAATAACACATGCTGGTGGTTGGATAAGAACCAGAAAGAAGAAATACAATATGATGTTCACTGAATTAACTTTGTTTTCAATGATATAACCAATCAACTGTTCAAACTTTCTACATTTTGCAAACGTTCGTGGGATAAAACAGGGTCTTTGTCATCTTATGTACTGTGTTCGTATGTTAAATATACTTTAATCCTTTTTAGATTGTTAATTAATCGTCTAAAAGTTTACTAACCCGGTTTGACATTTTTTCTCTTACGTAGATCTATGTGGATCTATGGTTGAGGTAGCAGATTTTATAGCTCATGAGCAAGCTGAACCCGGTCACATTTTCTATCTTATTCTATATTCGATGGAGTTCTCTTTAATAAATCTCAAGTTAGTTACATCTGTTAATTTTCAACACTTGCATATTATATTTAAATATTGAAAAATAATTTTCTCTAGAATAATATGTACACTTAAAACGCGTTCTATTATTGTAGACTAGGTGATTTTCCCGTGCTCATGCACGGACATAAATATCTATAAAATAAATAGATTATAATAATTTATTGATATTTACTTTAAATTTTAAATTAATTTATTATTTCTAGGTAGAATTTATATTAATAATATTATATTAATTTAGTTATATATATAATTTTAGATATGTTATATTTTGTCAGTTTTATTGTTTTTACGGTTGATTTAGTTATCATTTGGATATATTAGATTCTATATATTTCTTTGAATTCAACTATAATCTTTTTTATCCTAAATATATTAATTTTTTGATTAATTGTCTTATTTGCATTTATGCCGGTTGTTATATTAGAAATATAAGTATATCTAGTAAGATTATGTATAACTTAAGATTTTTTGTGCTTATAAAGAAAAAAATAAAAACGAAACTGTCTGATTCTAAATTATATACATAAGTAACTAATACATTTTTGGAAGTTTATGAACACATATCAACATTTACAATATTTAGATTGATTGAATGAAAAACTGAAATTTATTTTAAATAATTTTAAAAATAAGGATTCTGTTTTGCTTGAGTATTTTGATTATGGTTATATTAAGTTCCACAAACATAAAAATCAAAATTAAAAATCAAAAGAATTATTAAGAAAATATATAATTTTAACAATTAAAATATATCATATCTACTTCGTTAAATTATAGAGTGTTATGATATTTTAAACTAATAGTATTTATTTAATCAAAAATGTTTATTATTAAAATTCATTTTTAGTTTTGTTTTTAATATCTGTTAAAATATGCAGTAAAAATGTTATTGTTTTTGAGAAATTATATTATGTAAGTAAAATAGAATTTATATGTTTTGTTGTATTGTGAGATATTATAGTCAAATAAATATACTAAAAAATAAAAGAATAGAAAAGATTATCGCAGGTTCTAAGTGGGGTTTTAAACAAAATTTGTGATTTAATTAAATCAAAAAGAAAAGAAAAGATGGATTACCGATCCTTAATGGAGTGTTGGTAACCAATTTTTTGAGGGGTTTTATAAACACGTGTCAGCATCTCTTCTTTTTCCTTTTTTCTCTCTTTTTCTTTTCTTTCCTTTCTTCATGTGTTCTCTCTCATCTCTCTCTCGATATGAACGAAGACGGCGAGTTCTTCAGATCGCAGTAAGCACATTATACTTAGTTGGTTCTATAAAGCTGTGTAGTATAGACACTAAAAACTTTGTTTTTCCTCATATATTGAAATTCATGTCTTTGCAGGATTCCAATCATCATTTCTGAAGTTTTGAAGTTATTCTATCTAATTATTTATTTATAATACCTATTTATATTTAGACCATTCTTTGTTTTTGGAAGAATGAGATTATGCATCTTTATTATAATAAAATTGAGTTTATTTTATTTATATTAGATTTATCTGTCTTCCTTTACCTAGAGATCATAGTGAGGAGGAGTTTTAGCAGTATTTGAGTAGTTTGTTTAAAATACTTGGAGTACTTATATAAAACAGAGGCACTAGATATATAAAATATTTTGATTGAATTATAATTTCACATTCATTCAAAATAAATTACTATATTTTTAAAAAGTCTTTACTATTGCATTATAAATGGATGCCGAAATTAATAAAAATGCTATAAATAATAGTTTAAAAATTAGATAATGGAGGTATTACGAAATTAAATAGTAGAGAAGAGTAAATAAGTGTATTTTATTTGATTAAAAATATTTAATGAAATATTGTTTGATGAATTCTTTATTTATATTTTACAATAAATTTGCTTTGATATAAGATGACACTAAATAATTAATATTAGTCATTGTGTGATCACCATAAAATCAAAATCGCAATTTAACCAAAAAAACAATATTTAAAATATAGATATATAATTGGACGATATTAAAATCCGAAACAACCAATCAAAACAAACTAACATGCAAATAAAACAGATATAATGTTTTCTTATTTTCAAGATATAACAAATTTAATCATCTCATCCCGCGCAAGGAGCGGGTATAATCCTAGTATATATTATAGGAAGGTAATCTTATATGAAGAGAATAGGACACGTGAACTTTCCAAAATTAATTAATCTTTCCAACTTAAATCACGCGCGAACGTTTAAACCGCCTTTCCCTGTTGTATTTAATCTGCACCGTTGATTAATTAACACTTCAACAATTCTCAACTGTAGGATCTATCTGATATCCTAAACCGACTCGGATCCTGGGGTTGTTGCTCCGCGTATAAAAAGAGGTGGTTACTTCATCTTTTATCCACGAATCTCCCGCTGATCGCTTCGGCTTATTTTTCTTTCATGGTTTCGCATTCCGATTTAATTCGTTATTTTTCTGATGGTTCTCTTGCTAGGGTTTGGGATAGATTCGGGTGATGCTGATCCATCGCCAAGATTTCTGATCGTTCGATTTTTCCGGCCTGTGTCTGAGGTATGTTCTTGTCTATGCCTAGGGTTTCTCGTTGTTTGGTTGTTACTGCTTCTGAATCTTTTGAGATCTTCTATTTCCATAGGAATCAAATAAGAGCGGACATGCATAAACGAGATCTGATTAATTCTGCTTGATCAACAAGCAAGAGGAGTGATCTTACTCCTGGTATCTTCTTGTTGCGTTATCTTTGTAACTCTTGCACATGCTTTGTTTGGGCTCTCAAACGAAAAAAAACAAAAAAAATAGATAGGGGATGTGTATGACCTTTGCCATGACGGGTGCGCTTGCTTGGCAGGTCACAAACAAACTCAAGTGATAGTTTTTGGTTCTGCGGAGGGATGGGAGATGCATGGTACGGGATTGGTTTATGTTCTTTCTTTGCCCGGCTCTCCCTTCCTCCGCTCTGTGTGTGTGCGCCCCTGTGTCTCTCTTTTTACTTTCTTGCTCATTCACACGTTATGCTTCTTGCATACACACTTTATGCTTCTTGCATAGAACATGCTTCTTGCATACACACGTTATGCTTCTTGCATACCATGAACATGCTTCTTGCATGACACAATATGCTTCTTGCATAACATGAACATGCTTCTTGCATGCCACATTATGCTTCTTGCATAACACATTATGCTTCTTGCATACACATGTTATGCTTCTTACATAGTTACATGCCACATTATGCTTCTTGCATAACATGAACATGCTTCTTGCATACTGTGAACATGCTTCTTGCATACTGTGAACATGCTTCTTGCATACTGTGAATATGCTTCTTGCATACCACAAAGAGAATCACAGACCCAACATTGTGGCATGTAACTTCTTACATAGTTACATGCCACATTATGCTTCTTGCATAACACGAACATGCTTCTTGCATACTGTGAACATGCTTCTTGCATACTGTGAATATGCTTCTTGCATACTGTGAATATGCTTCTTGCATACCACAAAGAGAATCACAGACCCAACATTGTGGCATCTCTTGTGCCTTTCTTCTAATATGCGGCTTGCATATAAACGAAGAGAATCAATGAGCTTTGATCACTTGTGCTCTTTATTATGCTTCTTGCATGTGCTAATCATCTCAAGGAAAGAAGGAATCTGACATTGAGACTTTGAAGACCAAAACGAAGGTAATCAAAAACTGAGTCTAGTGCATCTTGATTGATTG